AGGCCAGACATAGCTTATCCARTCAGTATTATRAGTCAGTTTATGAGTTCTCCTACGACTGACCATTGGATTGCATTGGAACATATTCTATGTTATTTGAAAGGTGCTCCTGGACGTGGCTTGTTATATAAAGATCATGGTCATCTTAATATTGAATGTTTTTCRGATGYTGATTGGRCAGGTTMTAAGGAAGATAGAAGATCAACCTCAGGATATTGTGTATTTGTCGGAGGTAATTYAGTTTCTTGGAAAAGTAAGAAACAAAACGTGGTGTCGCGTTCGAGTGCTGAATCAGAATATAGAGCTATGGCACAGTCGGTGTGTGAATTAGTATGGATACATCAGCTTCTGACTGAATTAGGATTTGGCATCACCACTCCAATAAAACTTTGGTGTGATAATCAAGCAGCTCTTTATATTGCATCTAATCCAGTATTTCATGAACGAACCAAACACATTGAAGTTGATTGTCATTATGTAGGTGAGAAAATACAACTAAGGATTGGTGGCTACAGGGTATGTGAAGACTGGAGATCAGCTAGGAGATATCTTTACTAAAGCATTGAATGGAGCAAGAATAGATTATTTGTCTAACAAGTTGGGCATAATTAACATATATGCACCAACTCGAGGGGGAGTGTTAGAGTATAGATATTAATATATTTTATATTTTTGTATTAATATTAATTTGTTATTTACCTTCTCCTTATAGGATTAGGTCAACCTTGTATATTTGTCTATATATATAGACTTTAATAATGAGAATACATAACATTGGATTCTCTCCAACCTTAGTCTCTATACACACATCACAAACATAATTAGGTTTAATTTAATTTTCCCAGTAATGAAATAGCGTTTTTCCGAAATTTAATCAACCCAAAGAAATCATCGCAAAGACTCATGAGAAATGAAAAAAACCAGAAAACAATTACTTATTTTTAGGAATTTAATCCAAGTCTTATTTGGCAAGAAAAAGTACACGTAATCTGTACTATTGTTAGAGAAAAATGTCACGTGATAATCTGTTATCCTATTTAAAAGTAATTTAACGGCAGAGACTAAAATGAACCATTTAAAAAAGTATAGGGACAAAAATGAACATTTTCAAAGTACATAAACTAAAATGAACCTAAGTTGTAAATACAGAAACCAAAAAAGTATTTTAACCAAAAAGAAAAGGTACAGACAAACTCAACAAGAAGCATTACAACTATTGATAAGAGAAAATAACAATAAAGACCAAAGACCGCAACGAGATCACAAAACGACAACTTCAATATCTCCAATCTCAAACAAAGATCTAATCAAGAACCACCATCTTCTTCAGACTCACACTTAGAAAACAAGTCTTTATACTATGGTGTGATATTTTGGCAATTTCCTTCAGCAAAGCTTGAATCTCCAATTTTCTTTTGGCAAATTCTATAATACAATTTGGCCATTTCTAATTTGATCTTTTTCCAAGCATTGAGATGAAGAATGATTTCTCCAGAAGATTTGACTAGGAAGACATGAGATGGAAAATTAGAGAAGAGGCCCCATTTGAAATATTCTTTTAAATAACCTTACTGCCCTTTAAGAAAACCGAGGATTTGACAAACACATGAAACCCTCTTCCTTACAAGGAAGAAACAAGGGTGCTGCAAAGAAAATTGAAGAAATTTTGTTGACACTCAAGGCCTTGGAAGATCCCAACAATGTTCTACATCTTATAGTGCTCTGATTTTGAATGTATCAGACAAAGTTCTACAACTTTTGGGGCAGGGGAGAAATTGGAAACACTGGATTGTAAAGAAACATTTGCCAAACAAGATCATTCTCAAGTGGAGGCTCTTTACTTTCAAAATGAACTCCTCAAAGTCTTTATGTTAATCAAGGATCATACAACGAAAAGATAAGAGACCTAACAAAGGTTTATAATAGACATGGATTACTCCTCTAATTGCCAATTGATTTTGATATGAAATTCCATGAATATTTATATGGTAATAGATCCCAGTAAGTTCAAATGAACATCAGGTCAAAAATGGGATGTGGCCAAGATTGGTAAGCTTACCATAGCCACCATCTTGAGAGAGCATGTTAGTTAAGGATTCAACGCTGAAAAGATAAAGGACCTAACAATGTTTATAATAGACATGAGTTACTTCTCTTATTGCCAATTAGTTTTTAGATTCAACTCCATGAGTATCGATGAATTCAAGAAATAAACTACTGAATTCACACTGACAGGAGATAAGCAATGAAATTGGAGCAATGATCTTTATAAATTCACTGCCTGAAACTTATAGAGGTGTGGATTCTGTGATAACAGCCCTCAAATGGAAGGAGCCTGAACTAAAAGCTGAAACTAAAAATAATTGCATAATCTTTGTAGAGGCAGAAACTATTTGAAGAAGAACAAATTCACTGAGATACAAAAGAACTAAAAAAAAAAGTGAGTACTTTTAAGTTTCAGCGCGCAAATGAAAAAGCCATGAATCTGGAAATTGAGAAAAAGGAAGATTTGGTCCTTGACTCGGGGTGTACCTACCATATGACATCCTAAAAAGAGTGGTTCGTTCATTACAAATCATGGGAAGGAGGGTCAGTATTCATGGAGAGCAATCATGGCTGTAAAGTCATGAGAATTCGCCTAGTTTTGTTTGAACGCCAAGAGAATATGGAGATCTTGCTGAAAGAAAGAGAGAGAGACTAAGGGTTCGTTTGATAACGTTTCTATTTCTTTATTTTTAATAAAGAAAAATGGATTGCATGGGCCCAACATCTATGAATCTGAGTATGATAACACTATCCTTTTATTTATGTTTTTAACGAGAAATAAGAAACTTGTATTGGTTGTTCCCAAAATTTACAGTTTTGAGAATGTTCCAAAAAAAGGAGAAACAAGAAACGTAATTAGTTGCAAAATGTTTAGATTTCTTAAGAAAATTGGAAAATAAAAAATAAGAAACAGAAACGTTATCAAACGAGTCATAAACTGCCTTTATATATTCGAGGATGTAGCTCTACCAGACCGTTCTATAATCTCACAAGCTGAAAAAATAGAAGAAATTGAGTTGTGGCATACAAGACTCTCACATCAGTGAAAGAGGGCTTCAAGAGTTGATAAAACAGGGACCATGAAGACACAAGGCACTAAGAGACTTCAGTTTTGTGAACACTGTTTTTGGAACAAGGAGGGTCGCCACACTTTGGGGGCCATCAAGAACTCCTTTGAGTGGATCCAGGTATATTTTTTTTATCTTTAATAAGCTGCTTTTTCTAGAAAGACCTGGACTTTGCTGCTTAAGTCGAAAGATCAAACCATTGGGAAGTTTAAAGAGTAGTTTAAAGAGTGGAAGGCCGAAGTGGAAAACCAAACTAATCGAAAGATTAAATACTTAGAACTGATAATAGCTGGAATTTCTATCAAATCCGTTTAATGACTATTGCACTGAAAATATGATAACTAAACACAAAACAGTAGCTTATAATCCACAGCAGAATTGGATAGCATAAAGAATGAATAGGAGTTAGGACCATAATGAAAAGGGTGAGATGTATGCTATATGAGGTTAATCTCATATAGGACAAAGAACAAACTGAAAAGAACTCTGAAAAAGAAGCCAACATTAGTTCTAAGGTGGACCTACATGAAAAAAGAACAGGCTGATACTTCTACATCTTTAGAAGAAACTGAAACCATAGAATAAAAAAAAAAAATACAGAGAAACAGTTACTGAATCAGAAGAACCTCCTATAGAAATGCAAATTGATGACCTGTCCAAATACAATTTAACAAGAAATAGACGGAGAAGACAAGTAAGCTTCCAGCAAGGATCAGCGTAGCTTATGTACTCAATTTAGTAGATGATACAAGTGAAGAAGAGCCAGAGACATATGAAGAAGGAATCAACTGTCATGAAAAATCTCACTGGATTAAAGCCACGGATGATGAAATTGATTCTTTGCATAAAAACTCAAGAAAATTTTGGGAAGGGCAGATAAAAAGGAATCAAATACAGGCTAGATTAGCAGTCAAGAGTTTCACACAAAAAGGGAAAAAAAAGGATTATATTGAAATTTTCTCTCCAGTGGTGAAACACACAATCAATCAGAGTACTACTAACGAGTGTAGTTTGTCAGAAATTGGGGTTAGAATAAATGGATGTCAAAACGGATTTAGAAGAAACTATATTCATGACTCAACCAGGTAAGGACTGGTGTGCAAATTAAACAAGTCTCTATACCATTTAAAACAATGTCCAAGGTGCTGGTATGGGAGATTTACCGAATATATTACCAAAGTCAAGTTCAAATGAAGCATGTATGACCCATGTTTGCTTAAACGAAGTTGGTGACTGAAAGAATCTATCTTCCTACAAAGAAAGTTGATACAGAAAATCTACAGTAGCAAAAAGAATTTCGGGAATGGAAATCACTAGAAATAGACCAAGAGGAGAGCTACATTTGTCAAAGTGATTACACCAAGAAGATTTTGAAAAGATATAACCTGCTTAATGCTAAACCAGTTTGCACACCTTTAGCACAACACTTTAAGCTCTCAACAGCTGGAACTTATTACCTATGTAGATTCTGACTTTTCTGGGGACAAGAGGAGATAACTTAGCAGGGTGGTTTTTTTTTTTGATATTTGTGTGTCCGGGTCAGCTTACGCGCACCTCGACTATTCACGGCCAACTGCCTGACCCTACTACATTTGGTTGACAAGGAAACTCGTAGGATATTAAATCCTAGGTAGGTGGCCACCATGGTTTGAACTCATTCTCTCTAAATTCTTTACTATTTACGATGGCCCTCATTGACCACTTGGGCGATCCCATGATGGTGCTACTTGAGGGTGATATTACAGACTAATTCCATTCCACCTAATTTTTGTTGTACACAAGTTTTTTTTTTCTTTTCTTTTTTTAGAAACTTGAGATATGTATTAATCACACAAAAAAAGGAACAAACTACAGGCAGGGGTAGAGGAAACCCCCTCCGAAAGAACTAATGAAGAAAAGTTTTCCAATTGTGAAGGATCATAGAGAAGTAGTTACAAAAGAATTTGCTATAAGTGTAGCACCACCTAGAAGTAGTAAGCTATACATTACTCCAAAGATTAGAAATGTCAAGACAAGTGTTCTCAAAAGTTCTACGATTCCTTTTCATCCGAAGATCCCACAAAATTGCAGTCGTAGCAAAGTTCCACAACACTCTTTTCCTATTTTTTAAGAGGCCACCAACAAGGGACTAGCAATCGTCTGCTCTCTTGGGAAGGCAAAAGGTGTGTGTTAAAAGTATTGAAGACCTGCTACCAGCAGTAATGGGTGAAAGAGCATTGAAGGAAGATATGGTCCACTGGTTCCTCATCTCTTAAGCAGAGGGTGCAACCAGAGGGGAGAGGGACCAATTCTTGCACTACTTCTGAAGTCTTCATGAGTATTAATACTCCTATGGACCAATTCTTGCACTTCTTTTAACTTCTTCAGTTAATTGAATTTCCAAATAGCAGTGAGGAGGGAGATTTGACGCACCTGACTTTAAGAAGGTTGATTTTGTTGTAAAGGAGCCTGAAGTATATTCCAGCACACACCATCTATGAGGACGCAAGTTTAAAATTACAAATTCACTTACAGCTTGCATTTTTTAGATTGCGTGTAGTAATCCTCCAAGAGTTGTCACCAATAAAGAACTCTGCTATGGCTCCTTGCACAGTGGATGTGAGCAACTGTCCAACCACTTAAAAATTGGATGTTGGTTCCTTCTTCTTCCATCTTTACTCTGGGTTTTCATCTCTTTGTTTTGCATGTATTTTGATCCCTGCAATTTCGCAAAGAGACAGAGACAAAGAGAGAGTTTGACAGCAGACTTTTGGAAGATCAAAGATAGTGTATTTAAGTGTCATTTCAATATCTATTAAGCAAAGCAAATAGCAGTACCTTTCTTAGCTTTTGGTCATATGAGTAAATTATCAACCATTTTTCTTTCAGATGCATATAGCAGATGTAGACCACATTGTTGCACATGGAATAGTTCCTCATGATTGGTGCTAACCTTACACCTCAAGTAATCGCAGCACATCCATGGGATATTAAATTCTGTAAGTGGTATGCAGGAGAGCCAAATGAATGATGACTCAAAGCTACTCAAAAGCTTTTCAGCAGGAACGAACAGGTGATGCTCTGGTTCTATTTCATGAGAATCAACCCCAAATTCACATTTAAGATCCAACACTTTAACGTGCTCGAGTTTTTCTGTCTGGTTGTTTATGACCACCACAGCACACACAAGAACTCCTACTTCGCATTTAGCAAAATACAATCTCTCCGGTGTCCTTACCGCTCCTTTGTTTCCCATACTTTGACTGGTGAAAAAATCTGGGATTTCTTTTCCATGAATAATAGCCTCAAGCTTACTAATGTTGTACTGGTCCTGTAAGAATAATATGCAATCAAGTATAGAACTCATTGAATTATTAGTTCTGAGAGAGAAAGAGAGAGAGAGATAACCTGGGTGCTCTCCATGAAGAGTGAGTGTTGAAAACTTTCACGTCGGCCACTTAGATCGCTAGAAGTAGAAGTTGTTAGTTGGTCTGCAGGGACTTGAATCCGAATAGGCCGATGATATGTTGTTAAAAAGTCTCTCATAATTTCTTGACTGTGGTCCTGATAGAGTTCTTCTCTGCTCTTTGGTACGCAATCCATGATTGTGTTGATAAGGCCCTCCACATTGTGTTGGTAAACTAGACGAGCCCCACATGACTCAACTTGCAATCTCGTAGGAATACTAATGAAACTGACATAAAAATGATTCAATCCCTCTTGAACATAAGGAAACACATGTCGTGGTTCGAAAGTGACAAATAGTATTTGAGGTGAAGATTGTAACAATGATAGAGGGATTAAAAATGAACCGGATGAATATGAACCGCCTTTTATCAAATGTCTACCATCCTCATTTGAGGTTATTTGAAAGTTGAAGGTATGGTTATGAACATATTCTGAATTTCCAGGTACTGAAAAAATAGCAAACACAGCCAACCCCATCCACTTCTTCTCTTTAAACAAATCTAGAGGAAGCTTCACTGCCACTGTGTCCTTGGGTTGCTGGATTCTAAACCAACTTAAAGCTGGGCCTCGTGGGAAGAAGTAATATAAAGAATGATCTTTTTCTTCCTACAAAATACACAATGTCATGAGTCTATAACCACAAATCATATGAGAATGATAATATATTTTCTGAAAAGACAAACCTCATAAGTTCTTCGAAGGATTGATTTGAGGCTCCTCTTTAATAATGAAAATGGGCCACTTTCATTCTCAACATATTGAGTTGAACAATATTGGTCTATTGTCTCGGGCTCGTCGCAACTACACTTGCTCCCATGATTACATTCTCTAATAGTTGTGCAGAATTCATCCTGATTTCGAGTGCGATACACCTTATTGAACATGTTTGCCAAAAGCTCTGGAGCATTTTGGTGGGAGAGGACAGAGGCACCACACTTCTGTATATTGATGGTATTTGGAGACCCCTTAGCCAAAATCTTGAAACGCAATCTGCTTTTTGGAAGCAAGTTCAATGGTATAAATAACATCCAGAATCTCGTTCTAGATGTCAACTTGGAGGTCAATGGTAAAATACCAGTTCTAGGATGTTCTTCCATTCCCAACTCAATTAAGAATTTGCAATAAAATGAAATAACTTCATGGGCTGTGTTTTGAGAGCATTGAATACAAGCTGAAAGGACAACCCCATAAATATTGTTTGCATCATTTTTAATTTGATAGCGCTCAATTTCTATCACATTCCCTTCTCTTATTTCGTCAAAGCATTCCAAGACTTCAGCATTGTCATCAGTAGAAGAAAACAAGGCTCCTTCCGAAATAGACTCCTGCAATCCAAAAGATATGTTTATCATTGACAAATTACACATCCATGTTAATATTCAATGCTATAGAATGAAGGATAGAAAGCGACCTCAAAAGCCTTTGGATCCAACTTTAAGTTGGTTTTAGGGATGAACTCGAGAATAAAATGCTTGTCATGATGATAAGGTATAGGCAAATTTCTGACGGCTCCAGATTCAGTACAAGAGATAATGGGTACTAGATTTGTTCGAAGTTCTGGTAAGTGTTGCAACTTAAAGCAATCATGCAACCTCAATTCTCTTAGATTCTTAAGGTGGTTGATGCTTTCTGGGAGCCGTACGAAATTATTACCACTGAGGTCTAGAGTTTTTAATGAGGAGAAGTAGTGAAGATCTTCGGGAATGTCCTCCTCCACTAGATTGCAGCCTCTTAGACTTAGATATTCAAGTGACTCCATGCCAAACTTCGAACCAGAAATTCCCAAATCTGATTCCAGTATATTGCTTGGAGGGAGCAAGGAATGCCAAATTCTACCTGATAGCCCATCAAATTTTAATCCTTTAAGATTCTTCAGACTATGAATAGTAGGCGGTAGATGACAAATTGAAGTTTCACAAATCTCAAGGTACTGCAAACGTTGTACATTTCCCAAGCTGGGTGGCATTTGGTCAAGGTTTATACAACCTCCCAAAAGTAGACTTTGAAGAGACTCCAAGTTACCAATTTCATTAGGAAGACTAGAAAGCATAATACACTTCCTTAGGTCCAACTTAATTAGGCCAACTAGACGCCCAATTGACGGGTGAAGTTGTTTTATAGGAGTCCCATCTAGATAAAGCTCACACAAGCGTTCCATATTCTCTTCAATTTCTGGAGAACTCGTAACACCTGATTTGGAAAGAACTAAACGTTCGAGATTTTTGCATCTCAAATTTGATGAAAAACTTTTTAGACTTGAGCATTCAGTTAGATCCAAAAACTTGAGAAGGTGGAGACTATTGATGGAAGGGTGAATGTGATTCAATCTTCTACAATTGCATAGAACCAATCTTTCAAGCTTCGGAACTTTTGAAAAATTAGGAGTCTCAAGTAAATACTCCGAGTCGCTAACATCGATCACCTTCAGGTTCTCAAACTCCTGGTGCAAAACAGTTCTCCATCTATAAGTCAAAAATAGTAATACTTTCACGTTATTGAAGGTAGAGTTGATAGAGAAGTTAGAAAATTCAACCTTTTTTCCATCCCAAATTCGTACAATACTGCTATGACGTAAGTGTAATTCAAGTAGATACCCTGATTGAAAATTTGATGGCAAACACTTTGAAGGATAGCCAGGCCAATTGAGAAGTGCCAATAGGTTTGAGAGAGATTTGATATTTCCATAAAGTTGCACATTGCTAATTTCCAATATTCTTAAACATGTCATATCTGCAAATAATTTAGCCTCCAATGTTAACTCTTTCTGCTTCTTCTCCAAGTTCAAGACTATGCCTTCGGTGTATTTTAATCCCTGACATTTGAACGCACATAGCAGAAGTTTTAGAGACAATAATAATAAAGAAGAAAGAAATGGTATAAATGCATTATGATGTTAACTACATGTTTCATAGTAAACGCACGAACGACGTCTTCTTGAAGCCAAATCCTGCTTTGTTTACCCAATTGAGTTAGGGACTCCTTACGCACAATTTCTTGGCCCAAAGCCACTATCAAGTCGTGCATCAATATCTTCGAATGTGAAACTTCAATTAGACATTTTTCTGTAAACAAGTTTAATTCACTGTGGGGATTATAACCAAAACTCTCAAGTATTTTAATCACTTTATCAGTCCTCCTTCCGTTGAAGAAACATGCCAAATCCAAGAAAACTTTCTGACTTTCTGCTCCTAACCCATCATAACTTATGTTTAATACTTCAAACAAATGTTTTTCATCAACTTTAATGAGCCTATTCAATGTTTCCTTCCATATTAACACATCTTTTTTATTCAAATAGGATCCAATTACTTTCAAAGCTAATGGAAGTCTTCCAAGCTTTTCTACCATCCCCTTACTGAGATTCATGAAACTGCTATCAATGTAGTCTATTCCAAAGGCACGATTGCAGAAGAGTTGGAGGGCACTGTCATCATCTAGTAATTTCATCTTGTATTCTAGAATTTCATAGGGTTGATGGAGAATTTCTTTGTTTCTAGTTGTAATGATAATTCTACTCCCTGGACCAAACCAATCAGGACTTCTAGCTAGCATTTCTAGTTGCTCTTTTTCTTCAACCTCATCAAGAACAAGAAGAACCTTTCTACTGCATAGTTGATTCTCAATCATTTCCGCTCCGTAATCCTCATCCCATATTCTAACGTTTTCTTTTAGAAAAAGTCTGGATAGTAGTTGTTCTTGAAGTGACACTAAATTACATTGCTTAGAACTACCTCCAAAAACACGAAGAAAACAACTGCCCTCAAATTTAGATGTGATGCAGTCATAAACGACTTTAGCAATGGTTGTTTTACCGATGCCACCCATCCCAACTATCCCGACAAAGCGTACGTCATCCAATCCTAAACCAAGTTTCACATTCATTTCTAGCAACTGACGTGTCATTCCAACTAAATTCTTGTCTGAAGTTGCTATCTTAGGACGCCATCTTTCAAATATCTGGTTCGTGATTTTCTTTACAACATCTACTTCAGAGCTGCATTCCAAAGGCAGGGTACATCAAAGGTAATCGTCAATATTGGGAGATAGAAAAAAAAAAAAAGAGATGATATCATATATGTAAAATTACAAATTTAGTCCCTAACTTTTAGGATTATACAAAATAGGTCCATGAACTTTATAAGTCCCCTTAGTGTCAAATTGTTGTATAGAGGATTCATTACACAACTGATAAAAGATGGATTCATCCCTAAGTTTAACATTTATGATTTCTAATTTTAAGACAGTTAAACGACATTTACTTTACCTGTGTTGTGTAACAACTTCTCCCGCGAGGTTGCCAATTTTTGTCATGGAATCCTTCCAATTTTGAACCTCTTTCAAGTATTCTTCTCTTTGCACGCCTATCAACTTTGGAGCCTTTTCTTCATGTCCATCAAAGCTTTTCTTGAAATTTCCAGACTGATGTCGAACATGGGAAGGATCCACATGGTAAAACACAGGAAGGACACGATGTGTCGTCTCAGACATACAATCCATTATCTTGGCTAACTCTTTCAAGCACCACTTGGAAGAAGCATAGTCTTTTGATAGAACAACAATTGAAGACCTGGATTCTTCAATTGCTTTCACAAACTTTTCACTAAGATCGTCACCAATTAAGAGCTTTTTATCATCCATAAAAGTCATTATTCCCAATTGACGCAATGCCTGGTACAAAAATCCGACGAAATTGTTGCGAGTATCTTCCCCTCTAAAACTTATGAAAACGTCATAAGTCATTCGAGGACGATTAGGAGGAGCTGTTGAGGAAACCTCCATGGTTGCACGGAATCTGAAAATTGAAAGGAAAAAGAGATAGTGGGGAAAGAAAACTCACGAAAAGGAAAGTCGTCGTTGCCTTACTGGTTTTTCTTTGCAACTGTTCTTCCAGCTGCATCAAGTTGAAATTTTGAAATTTTTGGCGAGTGGTCCATTTTTAGAGTCAACGGTCAGCTGAGAGATCAAGATCAATAGCCTCAGGCCCAAACCCCTAGTCAGACTTTTCAATTAATAATAATAAGTTTGAAATGATTCAGTTTTTCATTTCTCAAGTAAATTTCACGTTCACGGGAATCCGAGCGCGAGTATCCCCGTGGAAAATAATTGAGAAATTTGAGGGAATAGACATCCTCTCCCGCCTTTTAAGTTTTCTAATTGTTTTTTCAAAACACAAGTTTTCTAAGCATTTGAGGATGTGAAATTATGTATTTACCCTTCTTCCACTTTTCTCTCCTATCTCCTTTTTCCCCACTCTATTTCCCTCCCTCTCTTTATTGTATTTTTTTCTTCTATCATTTTTCATTAACCCATTCTTTCTCTCTTCCGACGTGGGTTTTTTTCTCTCATCCTCCCTAAAATTTTCTTTGGGTTTCTCGTTCCCTTCTTCTTTACTCTAAAAGAACCCTAAATCTCTCGACCTTCTCTCTTTTTTCTTTTCTTTTTAACGAGCAGCCTCCATGATTCCAGTGACGCCAGCGACGGGTGCATCAAAATCGACGAAGGAGGTCGTTTGTCGAAGAAGAAAGCTCTGGGAAGAAGAAAGTTCAGCCTAACTTTGGGGATGTGGATGGGGAAGGAGAGAGAGAGAAAGTTGAGCGAGAGAGACAAAGTTGAGCGAGACAGAGCGAGAAAAGTGAGGGGGAGAGAGAAAGTTGAGCGAGAGAGAGAAAGTTGAGCAAGAGAGAGCGAGAGAGAGAAAGTTGAGCGAGAGAGCGAGAAAAGTGAGGGAGTGAGAGAAAGTTGAGCGAGAGAGAGCGACAAAAGTGAGGGAGTGAGAGAAAGTTGAGATAAAACGTTATCTAAATTGGAATCTCAATCTCCTTAATTTTAGTAATTTGGTATTCAAATTTAAAATTTAATCTAAATTTGTTTCCTTAAATTTCTCGTCAATCTTTTGTTAAATCTCATTTATTCTATCGTAATTTAAGTTTTATTTCATTTTCAAATTTCAAATTTAATTATTTTCTCCCTATCATTACGTGGGTTTTTTATTTTCTCTTCCTACCTGATGTGGAAAATCAAATTGAGGGAAATTAATTAAAATTGAAGATTGTGCGATGGTGGGATTTTTGAAATTTAGAAAATTTAATTATTAAACGTAATTTTAAGATGTGATGTTAGTTTTGATTTTGAGTTTGCTTGAGTTTTATTAATTTAGGAGATTAAAGGAGAGATTTTAAGGAAGAAAAAAAAAATATTAAACGAATTTGATTTAAATTTCAAATTTGAATATGAATACACTAATCTCATTGAGATTCTATTTTCTTTAATTCTCGTTTTGAAATTTTTAATTAAAAAATCTTTAATCTGATAATAATTTTGAATTTGAATTTTACCCAACATTTTATTTATTTACATTTAATTTTGTTTATGATTTCATTTAAATTAACCAAATTTTATTAATAATTATTTAGATTAATAATTAATTCAATAATTTATGAAATTTATTCCATAATTATTCATTCTATAAATATATTTTTAAGTAATTAAATTAAATTAGAAATTCAATTCTCTCTCTTCCCTCTCCCCTGTTCTTCTCTCTCTCGTTCTCCCTCGTTCTCGTTCTTCCCTCTCTCCCTCATCTCTCGCTCTCCCTCGTTCTCGTTCTTCCCTCTCTCCCTCATCTCTCGCTCTCTCCCGTTCTTTCCTCTCCCCCTCCAGGCGTTTTCCGGTGATATTCTTCTTCGACGGTGGGTCTCACGTTTGTGCCAGCAACATATCCTCTCTCGTCATTGTCTTTTATGAGATTTGCTAAATATTTTGAAAAATCTAAACTTCCCTTAGCTTTTCTCAACTGGGATTTTGAGAAAAAGATAACAGAAAAAAAATCAAGGAAGTGGGAGGGAAGAAGAAAATTATGAAAAAAGAGGGAGGGAAGAAGAAAGTGGTAGTTTCTGTATAACTTTAGAAAAATAAAGGAGATGATGAAGAGAAAAAATGGGAAAGAAAGAAAGATAGGTAGAGAAGAAGTTGAAGAATGAGAAAGAGAAATAATAATGAAAGAGAATGAATGAAGGGTAAATATGTAATTTCATATTATCAAATGACTAGAAAACTTTTGTTTTCAAAAGGGCGCTTAAAAAACAAAAAAGGTCCGAACGCCTATTGAGTCAAATTTCCCAAAATAATTCAAGGTTTATATATATATATATATATATATATATATATTTAATTCTAAATTACATGTTAATTTTCCACCGTTACTGTTCACTTCAAGGGTTAATTAGGGTGTTCATTGATTGAGTTGAATTGGGCTGAGGTACATTTTAGACCCCACCTAATTATTCAGATGGTAAATTTATTCAACTCAAATAATCATTATTAAATAATAAATCCAACCCAATCGAACCATAAAATATTTGTGTTTAGTTTGCATAACTGGGGTCGTAATGTAAACGTATTATATAATAAAAAAAATAAATGATAATATCTTAAACATTTATTTATATATTATCTAACATTAAATCAAGATCCGTAAATCGATGGTTATCTATATGGTGAAAAAGTACACTCGAAAAATTTTAAAGTATTGTCTATAAAATCATTGTAGAATAAATAATTATAACCATATTACGATAGCCCCCCAAGACGAGCAGAAGACCACATTTACATGTCCTTATGGGACATTTGCCTTAAGACGGATGTCATTCGGGCTTTGCACTGCCCAGCAACCTTCCAGAGGTGTATGATGGCCATCTTCTTTGACTTGGTGGAATCAGTGGTCGAAGTGTTCATGGAAGGTGCTGCAAAGATGTGAGGAAACAAATTTAGTTTTGAATTGGGAGAAGTGCCACTTCATGGTACAGGAGGGAATTGTGCTAGGGCACAGAGTCTCTAGCAAGGGCATTGAAGTGGACAAGGCAAAGATCGAGGCAATAGAGAAGTTACCCCCATATGTGAATGTCAAGGACATTCATAGCTTCCTGGGGTACGCTAAGTTCTATCATCGATTCATTAAGGATTTTTCGAAAATCTCTAAATCTTTTTGCTCTTTGCTTGAAAATGATAAGGAGTTTAATTTCACATCTGACTATTTGCAGGCTTACAATACGCTGAAATATGCTCTAACGCATGCGCTGATAATAACAGCACCAGACTAGACGCAACCATTCGAACTAATGTGTAATGCCAACGACTATGCTGTAGGAACAATCCTTGCTCAACGCAAGAGGAAGTTGTTGCATCCAATCTATTACGCCAGMAAAACTCTGATAGAAGCACAGATACATTAAACCACAACTGAAAAGGAGTTATTAGCAGTGGTGTTGCATTCGTAAAGTTCAGAGCATACCTGGTATGATCCAAGGTGATAGTATACACAAATCATGCAGCATTGAAATATCTACTGACAAAGAAGGACGCCAAACCGCGGTTGATTCGCTGGATTTTGTTGCTGCAAAAGTTCGACATAGAGATCAAGGATAAGAAGGGAATAGAGAATTTAGTTGCTTACCACTTATCCAGGTTGACGGGTCTAGGAAACTCCATGAAAAAAACAGAAATTAGAGGCACGTTTTCGGATGAGCTTGTTGGCCATCGAGGTTATGAATGAGGAAGAGGAAGAGTCATGGTTTGCTAATATGACCAATTATGTCGCCAGTGGGATATTGTCATCCGATCTGAATAATCAACAGCTGAAGAAGTTTCTGCACGAGAGCAAATTCTATCTTTGGGATGATCCATTCCTTTACAGGATTTACCAAGATAAGATGATAAGGAGGTGTGTTGCCAATGCTAAAGCACTCTAAGTGTTCAACAAATGTCATTCTGCACCTTATGGTGGATACTTTGGGGGGCAACGCACAGCAGCAAAAGTTTATCACAGCCCACGATCTTCAAAGACGCATACGAGTTAGTCCAACATTGTAACGAATGTCAAAGGGTTGGAAACATTTCCAAAAGATGAGAAATGTCTCTCACATACATCCTCGAGGTGGAGCTCTTCGGTGTGTGGGCATGGATTTTTATGAGACCTTTACCTCATTCCAACAGGCATCTCTTCATTTTATTAGCAATTGACTACGTGTCGAAATGGGTCAAAGCAATCGCTTGCCACAGTAGTGACGCCTAAGTTCTTACAATAGAACATATCACAAGATTTGGCACATCCAGAGCTATAATCAATGATGAAGGCTCCCATTTTATCAATAAAGTTGTAGCATTGCTCCCGACCAAATACAATATTAGGCACAAAGTCTCCACAGCATACCATCCCTAATCGAATGGGCAAGCTGAGATATCAAATTGGGAGATAAAGAGTATTTTTGAGAAAATAGTCAGGGCTAATAGGAGAAATTAGGCAATGAAATTGGATGATGCTTTATGGGCTTCCCGTACAACATTTAAAACACCCCTGGGCACTTCTACTTACAAATTGGTTTTTGGGAAACCATCCCACCTCCCGTTGGGTTGGAGAATAAGGCATTTTGGGCTATTAAAAAGCTAAATCTAGATTATGCTACAGTAGGAGACTTACGTCGCTTGCAATTTCTAGAACTTGAGGAGTTCAAGCGAAATGCTTATGAAAATGCCAAAATATATAAGGAAAAGACAAAGCGATGACATGACACAAGAATCCAACCGAGGCATTTTGAAAAAGGACAAGTCCAAATGGTTAGGACCATTTTTGGTTTCACATGTATTCGTTCATGGAGTTATTAAGGTGCAGGAGATCGATTTAGGAAGAGAATTCACAGTTAACGGTCAAAGGCTGAAGCAATTTTATGGTGAGAACGTGGTGAGAGATACCGGAGCTCACAACTTCGCTGCAAACTGAGCAGGATCAAGAAGGAACAAGCGAAGCAGGATGCATTGTCAAATCATTTTATTGCTCCAACATTTTAATTTCTTATTTTTCGATATTTAGTTTGTTTTTTTTTATCTTGTAATTTAAGTTAGTTTACTTTTATTTTGCAAAGGAAAAAGATTTAAATCAGGCAAGAGAGTGGTTTACA